TGTTTCCTTTACACTAGTTTGACTTCAGAACTGCAGGGATTTCACTGGATCTATCCATGGTTCAGGAAAGGAGATTTGGAATTCTGAACTTTCTGTTGCTGCAGAGAGGCCTAGAAAGAGCAAATCCCAGTTCACCCAGCAAGGGAAACCCAGAACTTCCCACTACACACTTCCATTGGGCCTTCCTTACCTGTTTCCATAGCATTCATTAAATCAGGTATGTCCTAGGAAAAGACACAACCCTGCAGCTGGGCCCACCTGCACTGCTGCTTATGGAGCCTGAATTAGACTGCATGCACACCAAATTAAATCCCAGATCCAGCTGGGCCAACAGCAGTTTGGCCATTGTTTTTTTAATGCATTTAGCTTTGACCCACACTCCACAAGGCTGCAGTAAGCTCCAGAGAACCACTGTGACATGCTTTTCCTGTCTTTTCACAGTACAAGGCGTGGATGTCAGAAAGGGCACAGCAGATCTCTGGCAATTTGGAAGGGCAGGGCTAATCCCATGCCAGGCAGTTCAGAGGGTGTTGGTGGGAAAGCAGACCCCAGCCATCATTACTGACAAGTTTCTTGTCCAGCCATGCCCGCTACACGTTAATAGCAGCTCCAACTGCAGAAAATTAACCTGATGAACCAGCTAAGTTCCATGACATGCTCCCTGATTGTCAGGTTACAGCCTCTAAGCATTAACAGCTCAGCACACACCTACTGAACACCTCTGGGCTTGTCCTTTTGCTCTTACACATGGACATGAATGAATGGAATTCCCTCTTCAGAAAAACAATAATCTGACCGTTTATAACAACTGAATGGTGGCCAGAAAGGAAACTCACAGATTTTACTATTCCCAATGGAGTCATATGGCATGGAACATATTTTTTAAATAGCTTTATTCCCACTAATTTTACTTCTATACCAGCATTTCCTTGAAATTATCCAATTTGGCTCTTCTTGTTCAGGGACAATTGGGAATGACAGGATGGGGATATTAGTGAGGGGAAGGGAACATGTGCAGTTCCAAGACCTTGTCCCCACTATGGGATGTGGGAATGAGTGCTGCACTAGCTGGTGGTGATGGAAGAGCTGAAATCTCTTCCTCCACACTGGGAAACCTGATCCTGCATGCCCCTTTCATGGTGCCCTAAACCAGGGTACATGTCCCAAAGATGCAGAAAGCATTATATTCTTTGTTCTGTTCTCCACTTGTCTATTACTAGAATAGCAAATGTTCTTATCTCCCTGAGTGCTGTGACCCACTCAGTCCCTCCAGGAGCAAGATGTCAGTACAAACACAGAGAAAGGAGTTGGGATGTATTCAGCTGAGAAATGTGTGCTCAGAGCAGAGTTTCATCCTTGGATGCTGGAGCAGGCAGTTGATGAACCCTCTGAGCCAGGCAGAGTTATTGAGACCAGAAAGCATAAAATGCTCCCTGGGTTAAAAACAGGGAGAAAGGAAGGGCCTGGGGACTATCCCCTCTGTCTCTTCTGGCAAATACTGCCACATAGCAACAGTTTAGGTAGCTGGAGGTTCAATTCAGAAATGCACTCTTGATCTGAAGTAAAACATTGATACAGATGCATTTGAACCATTAGTCAAACACTTGATCCTGGGGGGAAAAAAAAGCTGGAGTAAATAAGCAAGAAATTTTGGTGAGCACATAAAATAAATTAATAGCCAATAAAAATTTACAGAGAATGAGTCAAACCAGTATAACTTCAACCTACAAACCCAGACCTGTGGATAGGAGCAGATGGAGTAGATGCCCTCTGTCATAAGCTCAGTGACTCTCCATAGCTTTCACATAAATAAACTACAGGACTGTGGTTTTCACAAAATGATTTAAATGTGGGGACAGGGCTGGCTGCTGTAGGAATGACTGCAGGAAACTTCCTTGGGGCAAACACAGCCAGAGGCAAAAGGCAGAAGGTTGGAAGTCTCTGGCTATGCCCCAGCTCTTGCAGAAACAAACCATAGGTCAAAGCAAGCCAGTGGCTGAATTGTGTCAATGTTGCCCAAGAAAAGGTAAATGATAGAGGTGTATCAATGAGGAATGTGAAGCAGTAATCCTTCTGCTTCACTCCCTTGCAATATCGTGTTTAATTCTGAACACTACATTACAAGCAGCCCAGAGAATAACAGTGATGATGGGAAGTCTGGAAGATCTGAATCAGAAGAGTGAAACCACGGGTCTGATCCTGAAAAGGAAAAGTCCAAGCTGAGATGGGGCCTGTTTTCAAGTAAGCACATGACTGCAGAATCTAATCTCCAGATGTGTTTTGGATAAGACAGGAATGAATGGACTCATATTACAGAAAAGAAGATTTAGTAAAGATTAGGAAAATCTTTGCTATCATACAAATCTGTATATTGCCTGGACTGGTTATCCAGTTAACATCAGTGATAGTCTTTAGGATTGGGTTACATACATGTCTGTGAAAAAGGACAGAAGTGTTTAAGATGTTTGTTTGAGGACTGTTTCAGACCTGTGAGTGAAAGATTTGGTTTTGATATTAAGAGAAAAAAAAATCAGTTTTAATTATTCACAAACCTGTAAAAATATTCTTACTAGCTGAAGCCCATCTAGTATGGCATCTATGATATGCGCCAGATGCCCTAATGTCATTTCTCTGTAAATGGAAGTTGAACCCAGACTCAGCTCCCTGCTTGGGATATTGCTAGACTGTGGGAAGAGAATTGAACTGCATTATGTAGCTGAAGTATTATTATTAATAAATCATAAAATTTTCACAATGTGGTGAATCAAATTACAGGTGGTTTTAATTTCCTCACTGTGGTCAAGAATGGGCTGTCCAGACAGGCAGTGGGTCAAGAAACCACTGGATATGGTACTTAGTGCCATGGTCTCATTGACATGGCGGTGTTCAGTCAAAGTTTGGACTCAATAATCTTGGTGGTTTTTTCCAGATTAGTCTGTTGTGGGCACAGAAAACTGACAGAAGCATAAAGCTAAATGTGTGGGAGTTTGAACATGGCAAAGGTTCAAAATCCTAGAGTTAAAAAGAAAAAAAATAATTAAAAATAAGTACATGGAAAGTGACCTGCAGGAATCACACTCCTCAGAACCTTACAGCTACTAATTTCATCCTATTAAAAAATAAAGAGGCCTGAAAGATGTTTCCTTAATCTGCAAAGTAGAAGAGCAAGCTCTCTATCTCTGCTGGGTCTCTTGGAACACTTCAGAAAGAACAGTATGAATATTCTTCTTAAATGCCTGCCTACTGATGAATGTAATGGGAATGTTTAGTTTAGCAGTGATAGATAAGGTCCTTTTGCTCCACAAGACACCTTGAATAACCAGAGGACATCAGCCACCCACTCTTGGCACGTTTTCACCATGGACTGACATGGGACTGAGATCCTGAGTCTCCAGGAGTGACTTTGTGACTTCTTCAACAGCCTCTTCTTTTCACTTAAACCCCAAATTCCCCTGCAGCCTTATGTCAGCAGGGGATTACTTTATTTTGCCATAAGACAGCTGGAATAGCATCACTGTGTGTTTTTATGCTTTAATACATCCTTAGGAAGTGGAAAAGAGAAGCCAGGAGCACTTTCCAGCTCCCCTTCCCACCACGAGGCTCCGTGTGGTTGCTCTGCCCTCTGCCGGAGCTGCTCAACAGGGAAGGGAATGAGGCTGGAGAAACCCTTGGAATTTGGGATCGGAAAAAGCCCGGAATTGTTTGGCACGGTGCCCGGGCTCAGCTCCGCGGCCGGGGCTCCGCGGCCCTCCCTTAGAGCCACGTCCTGTGTGCCCGCAGGACGGCAGCCACGGCTGCGAACGCCCGCAAAGAGCTGCAGAACCACAGGATTATCCTGGAATTGTGATTACAGTGACCTCTGGAGATCACCCTGTCCAACGCCCTGCCCAGGCAGGGTCACCTGCAGCAGGTGTCACAGGAGCGTGTCCCGCTGCGTTGTGTTATGTTTGCCCAATTATCCCATCAAAAAAAAAAAAAACCAAACAATATTTAAGGTCGCAACAATTTTAATTGAATAGTTTAGAAAATATATAAATAAGGGATAATTTGGTTCAAATAATAGCGCATAAGCAAAAACAACCGCGGGGTACGGAGGGCAGGGTTCTTGACCCTTGCCACTTCACGTACAAGCTTGCCAAGTGAAAGTCACCCCTTATATGCCATGTGTCAATGCCATCTCGTCCTATTTTCGGTTCGTCACTTTTCTGTCTCCGCCTTCATTACCACCTTTACCACGCATGTGCCACCACTCGGTTTGGTCGTCGCACAAGCCTTTGGGGGTCGTCACTGATGAAGGCCCTGTAGTCTTCTTCGTTGTCCTTTAATTCACCTTTGGGTTACACATGCGCACCAAGCCAGTACAATGTAAGCCAAGACTAACGTATCACTGCATCTACATATCAAAGCAATAAGTCCCTTATAATTAGCATTTTCTTGGACCCAACCAGGTTCTTGGTCATTTTTAGCAACTGTATCTTCAGCTTCTTTCCTGTGGTCCTTGAGAACATCTGCTGGGAAGGGGGGGGTGGGTGGAGCCCCTCCTTTCCCTCTCTTCTTTGGCATTACAACTTTTAACTATTAACTATTTTATTATTCTCAAATATTAATTACTGTATCAATATTGATTACTGTTTCAATTTTTATCAGCACGAATCATACCTATTTACCACAGTTGGAATGTCCCCGGAGAGGGAGACTCCAGCCCCTCCCTGGGCAGCTGTTCAGGGCTCTGCCACCCTCAGTGTGCAGAAATTCTTCCTCAGGCTGAGCTTCTTGTGTTTAGTTTATGGCCATCCATCCATCCATCCATCCATGAAAGCAGGCACGAACCCCTGTGGGCTTTACGGGGCACCTTGTGCCAAAGAGCACCCTCTCCTCCCTGCAGGCTGGATCATTCTCCATCCCCCCTCGAGCCCCCCACACGGCGCGTCCCTCGCTGTCCCCCCGGCGTCTCCCCGCCGCTCTCCCCACACGCATGCACAGCAGCGCAGGACTACATTTCCCGGCATGCTCCAGGGGGCGGTCCGCGAACGTGGCAGGGCGCGGCGGGAGAGCAGGGGAGCGGGACAGGGACAGAGACACGGCCATGGATGGAGGCGAGGGGCGGCCGCAGCCCCACCTGGCCGCGTTGGTGCTGGCGCGGGGCGGCAGCAAAGGGATCCCGCTGAAGAACATCAAGCTGCTGGCGGGAGTGCCGCTCATCGGCTGGGTGCTGCGCGCCGCCATCGATGCCGGCGTCTTCCACAGGTGCGCATGCGCCGCCCCCCCTGCGCCTCCCCTTCCCCCGGCGGGTTCGGGTTTGGGATGGACGGGCCGGGGGACCCTGGCCCAGGGAGGGGCTGGGGAAAGGTGCTGCTTCGTCAAGAGGCTCTTAGGGATGACTGTCAGTGTCTGCAGGGAGGGCTCAGAGCAGGGACCTGGTTCTGCTCCGTGGGGCCCAGCAATGGGACAGGAGAAGCGTCAGGAACTAATGCCCAGCAAGTTCCACCTGGACTGGAGGAAGAGCTTCTTTACTGGAACAGGCTGCTCTAGGAGGGTGTGGAGTCTCCCTCGGTGGAGATACTCAAAAGCTGCCGGGATGGATGGAATCCTGTGCAACCTGCTGGAGCAGGGAGGTGGGAGCAGCTGACCCATGCTGTGGTCCCTTCCAGCCCGACCCATGCTGTGACTCTGCCACTAAGGCAGAATTGATCCTCACTTGGGACAAGGGGGTGCAGTTACTGTGGCACCGGGTTAAGGGTCAGGCAGGGCAAGCACCCTGTCAAGAACTCAGCTGTCCCTTCCTGCTGAGGATGAGCAGCAGAGGAATGGAGAAATTAAAGTCTTAGACAGTAAATTGAAATTAAAGTTTTTCTGATGCGTGGTTCGGTGGCCACAAGCTGGTGATGTTGTAAATATTGATGGGTTTACTTCATCAAGACATCTGCATTAAATGGGACTGCCAGGCTGGATGTGATCTCCTGTGAACTGCTGAAGCACAGGATGACTTTGGTTCGTTGTCATCTGGGTACTCAGGACAGCGTGCACTGAGCTTGGATCTCCAAGGATCTCCACAGCCCTTCTGTTCCTTTCACTGTGCTCACCCAGAAAAATTTTCCTTATTTCCTCTCTCCATGCCCAGCAGTGAAATCAGCTCCTTGCTGAGATGTCTCTTTCAGCATCTCCTGGCATATGTGTGTTCCCAGGCCCAGTCATCTTGCTGGCTCCTGCTGAGCTTGCTCCCATTTTTCCTTTTTGGTATCAGGCAGCACACAGCTGGACCCAGCACATCAGAAGCAGTCTCACTCAACTGTCAAGTTAAAGGAGATAATCTTTTGTGCCCATGTGACACAGAAGAGAAGCCCAGTTTGTGGCCAAGTGCCTGAAACTTTGGAAGCAATAATTAGAGCAAGATTGAAACGTGTGTTGTTGGTGTTGAGAATAGAGGCATTACCGATTTCTCTGCAGGAGCGAGACTGAGGATTTTCTACACATTTGCTGGTAATTAAAGCCATGGTTAGGATGTGCTCGGTGTGTAGCACTCTTAGGGGCAAGTTCCCAGTGCAAACCTGCTGCATAATGCTCAGAACAAGTCAAGGAGAAATGTAACCCAGCTAGATCCAGAGCACTGTATCTCATAGCTGCTCTGTCATTATCTGGCCTGGAAAACCTTTCTTGCTGTATCTGAAAAGTAGAGGATGCAGCACTCTGTTTTATTTTTAATAAAGAAACAGACAAGAACATTTCTGGTTACTGAGGTTACTGATAATTTCTTAATGATTGTGAATCTGTACTGCTGAATGACCTGCTGTGGCTTCTCTTTGGCATCTGAATTTTCCCAACAGGAAGCCATTCAGGGTTGTGCAGCCTGGCTTTGAGGCATGGCAGGTGCAGTAGGTGGACATGCAGCAGGTTTGCCTTGTCACCTATGGAACAGCTGTGCAAGGTACCTGTTACACAGCAGAACTCTCTTGGTTGAATGGGGAATGTGTATTTAAGTTCACCATCCCAAAGCAGTTTCTGGAAAACACCTCATGTGTGTTTGTTCTCAGGGTGTGACTTGACATTGCTGTTGCTGTCACACATATTTTTCTGCTGATGATCCCACAATGTCTTTGGGGGAAGAAATGTAACTGCAGCACCATTTGCTGTGGACTGTGCATTATGAATGCCACATTGCTGGGAGAGGAAGGGTGACTTTTCATAGCTTTTGTTTTTATACCTCTCGTGCTTTTTTGTCATCATGATGACAGCAGTGGCTTCACACTTGCTCAGTGTTTGTCATCACATGATACTCAGAATTAGCCCTTCCTTTTGTAAATGTTTATTTTCCCTGAACGATTGCAATCTTGCTTTACCAGTACTGGAAGTTTTCTGTGCCAAAACATATGGAACTTGAACAGCTCCTTCTCTGGGAGTGTATGGAGCCCAGTTAACACATTTTAACACACTTGCAGCATAAGCCAATCTTTTAACTTTGTGGCAGTTTTACTTGTAAACTAAACTCTTATGTGATTCTGAATGCCACATCCAACGCATTCACAATTCATAGATTTGTTAACATGCCTAACAAATTCTTTGTGCTGACACTGGTTTTTTCTGGTAACACTTCTAAATTTTATACTGCTTAAGCTTCCTACATGAAATGCAACTCAAGATTCAGATTTTACACTGGTGTTTTTTATCCCCATTGTTAAAAGCTGCTGGTTGGACTGACTGGGATAGTTTTATTAATACAAACACAAGAATTAATTCCTTCTATTGCAAGTTGTAGTACAGACATAAACAAGCTGGGTTTTTTTTTCAGGTTAAATTGCAACAGGCAAGTCAATAATGATTTATTCTTTATATTAATTTCTGTCACTGTCTGCCAATAGCATATGGGTTTCCACAGACCATGACGAGATCGAGAAGGTTGCGAAACAGTTTGGTGCTCAGGTCCATCGCAGGAGCCCCGAAGTCTCTCAGGACTCCTCCACTTCCCTAGAAGCCATCACAGAGTTTCTCAATCATCATCATGGTAAATCAGGAATGAAATATGCTGAGCTTTTATATCGTAGTCCCAGAGGCATGATGCACTTAGTATTTAGAAAAATGAGTAAAGTAAAGCACTGAGCAAGTAAAAGCCAGAAAGATTCAGATTCTCTTTTTTTTTTTTTTTTTTTTTTGGTGTATAGTACTTACTCATACCATACTTTGCAGTTGTGTGTTTGCAAAGATGTGCATTGTTTCATAAATGTCTCTTTGTTTTTCTTTAGAGGTTGACATTGTAGGAAATATTCAAGCAACATCTCCCTGTTTACATCCCAGTGACCTTATAAAAGTGGCAGATATGATCCAGAAGGAGGGCTTTGATTCTGTCTTCTCTGTTGTGAGGAGGCATCAATTCAGATGGAGTGAGGTAAAGAAAGGAGGTAATATTTAGACGTTTCTGGTTACAGTTAAACTTCACTTTTTTTTTTTCCCCAAATTCTTGCTTTTCATACCTATCCTATTTCAGGAAGTGATATCTGAAGCATAGACTGAATTCTCTCCGAGAGATTTGAGATGGCTTAAAAATTCCTTCCAAGCACTGGTGTCTTGATATTACTGAGCATTGCTCAGCTTTTCTGTAACTGTTTTGTAGAAATTAAAATTATATTAAAATTATATTAGCTTGTCTTAAGTTGAAGATACAGTTCCAGAAAAAAACCTTACAGGTTAACTTCTTCCTAGAGGATATTCATGGGTATTCAGACACTACTCTGAGGTCCTAACTACAAAACTGTTTGTTCTTGCTGTGCACTAGCTGACAAATGACAAAAATGTGAGATAAAATCTTGGTGAGAATGGGATGACAATCTCTTGGCCTGCAGACTTAGGGTTTGTTTCATCCTGATAATTTGGCTGCTGACTTATGTCACGTTGCAAAATGCCTTTGAGTCATGGTGCTGAACTCATGTTGGTTAGCTCATCCAGAAAAATGTGACTGGTTTTTCCCAGAGAAAATATGCCCCTTAGCTACAGTGGCCAAGATGACCAAAGACTGACATTTTACAAATAAAATTGCACCTTGGTTTAGCTATAAAGCACCTTTTGTCCTGGTACAAAGAGCTATTCCACACATTTTGTATGTTGGCTTTGTTTCTGTGGTTAAAGCAGAAATGTTTTCATTTTTTTAAAATGGCTATTTCAGGTACTCTCACACTGGAGTTTTGGTGGTTTTTTCTTTTTTTTTTTAATTAAAGTTACTCAGATATTACAGTTATTTTGTTGAGATATAAATTGCTTCAGATGAAATTTTTCTGAGAGTTTAGAAAGCATCATGCTGTAAAAGAGCATGTGTAATAAATGAGGCTTGATCTTAGAGATAAGATGAAATAAAAGTTAGCCTTTGTTTAGAATAAACACTTGAACATTGTCATTGTTCCCCATAAGAGGAGAAATAAGTGATGCTTTTTGTTTGTGCAGTATAAGAGGAATATCAAAAGCATGGGTGGCAATTTCAGGATTCTGTGGATTGCAGTTTAGCAAGCCACATACACATCTTGATATGCTGGAAGGGACAAATGTGAAAGAGTGAATTTCATGTGGATCTGCCATGTGGGTTCCTGAAGTGCTTGTGTCCCAGAGGCAGATTGTTAAATAAGGAAGCCTCGAGGCCTACCTAAAAAAAGAAGTAATTCTTCTGCACAAAATAGATCCTAACGTTTTTAATGTGGTGAGAGATAGGGAATTATTCAGCTGCGAGGACTGAGGAGAGCTGGAAACACATTGTGCCAGCATAAGCAGATTAAGGATAAATGCAAATGGCCTTTAGGGTGTGTGGTGTTTCAGGTGACAGTGATTCACAGCAGCATTATACAATGGTTTTCCTTCTTTTTATTTTTCCATACAGCTTTAGAGTACTGGTTATGCTAAAATAATTTAATGTTTTGTTTTGTTTTTTTGGGTTTTTTTGGGTTTTTTTTTGTTTTTTGTGTAGCTCTGTTGTTCCTTCTGCATTAAGGTTTAATATTGATAGACCCTGAAAGAGAAAAGTGTCTCTCTCTGACTGGAAATGTTTACTTCAGTGAGCACAAAGCTTTTGCTGGTAGATACACACAAGGGGTGTGTGTATCTACTAAAGCCTCAGGATGTTTTGGGTGTTTGAGAATGCCCTCTAACTTTGTTGTGGTTACTGGATTGTGAGACCTGGTGAATTTTAGCTTCTTTGTACATCTGGATTGAAGGGGCTTGAGGGCAAAAGTCACTGGTCCTTGATTTGGTTTCTGGTGCATGTACAATTGTCATTGGTAATAATATGGGATCTTTTGGGATGGTGTTTGTGCAGACAGCTGTTTGTTTATTTGTGGACACTTATGAAGAGTTAATGCATATCCTTAAATATGATGTATTTTGGGGAAGTCCCAAGATGTTTTCACAGTCAAAAATTATTCACATATGCTCTTTTTTCACCTTCCAGATTTCAGGCTGGTCCTTTCAGGTATCAGAGTGCATTCAGGCATTCCCCTGTGCAATAAGAGTTGGAGTACAGAAATAGTATTTCTTTCACATTGGCAAGGACAGTCTGGTAGAATGTCCCTCCTACTCCTTATAGGAATGAGTTTTGAAGCAAAGAACCTCTTGGGTTTTTGTTGTTGTTTCTGTTTGGTTGGTTTGGGGTTTTTTTCTAAAGTGGTAATGAAAAGTTTCCTTTTTCACTGCTAGACATACAGAATAGTCCTCCAATTTATCTACAGTTCCAAAAAGAGAAGCAATTCAGTGATTCCCCAGAGAAGTTGTGGATTCTGTATCCCTAGAAGTGTTCCAGGCTGGGTTGGATGGGGCTCTGAGCAACCTGGGATGGTGAAAGGTGTCCCCTGCCCATGGCAGGGTTAGGAACTGGATCATCTTTAACATCCCTTCCAACTCAAACCAGTCTGTGATTCTTTATAAAGTTAAGCAGAAGTAGGCAATAATGACAGAAGTTGGTGACTGAATTATACCCTTAATTTTTCAACTGGAAGTTATTTAGGTTGTTAAGTGACTCTGAACAGGAATTATTTAAAGCTTTTGTTGTAATTGTTTTCCTCTGCTAACAGAAAACAAGATGACAGAACCCCAAAACCTGAATCCAGCAAAGCGGTACCGGAGGCAAGACTGGCCTGGGGAGCTTTATGAAAATGGCTCATTTTATTTTGCCAAGAGGCATCTGATTGAGAAAGGCTACTTGCAGGTTAGTGCTTCTGGTTTTTCATGCTCTTCTGAATACATCTACTCTTGCTGTAGAGGGTTCTGAATTCAATACTCTGTTTTGATTTCTGATGCAGTCAGTGTGAAATAACATCACTCAGACCAGTTTGCTAATTATTTGTAACTTAGCAGAGCTAGTTATAGCTAGGGCAGTTCCAGTAAACAGCATCCTCCATAGCAAATAAATTTATGCAAATAAATGTCTTATATAGCTTTAATCTTAAACCAATACAATACTGAGTTGAGTTTTGCAGGAGTTCACCAGTGTATCTTAGAATTCATTTTAGTGCCACTGAAGGTGTGAAACTGAGCTTCATGCAGTGTCAGAGCCTTGTCATAATCTGCAAATTTCTATATCAGCCAGTTTCATCTTATGCCAATTTTTGTACTGTAACTTTAACAGTCTTTTTCCCTTTCGTGATGTTTACATCCCAATGTAGTGGTGCAGAACAACACTGTGGTGTGGTGGATATATTTCCCTTGGAAATTAAGTAACAATAAGCAAATAATAAAATACTCTTCCTAAGCAAATGCTGCAGGTATTACTATTTTGCTGATTAAAAGAGCTAGTGAAATTAGTGTGATGTAATTGCTATAATGCACAACATCTTGCACACTTTCTCTAGTTGTAAATGGAAATAGTTATTAACTATTTCTTCAATAGTTACTAACTGTTTCTTCACAAATGGTTCTGTGTCACTGGCAAAAACATAATTGATGGTTCACTTTTATATAGGCCATGGTGGCCACTCTGTAACCAAAGGCACTTGGCTTTCATTGCATGGTGCTAAAATGTAGAGTTTTGTGTTTGTGTTGACCCAAGCATAAAATTTGAGTGGATTTTATTTCCTTTAGGGTGGTAAAATGGCCTACTATGAAATGCGTGCAGAGCACAGTGTGGATATTGACATAGACATTGACTGGCCTATTGCAGAGCAGAGAGTGTTGAGGTAAAGGCACTTTTTATTCCCTTATTTCTTTGATGCTGCTTGCTTCAAAGTGTGGTCATGTGAATTCATAATGCATGGAATGTAAGCAATGGAGATCAAAGATAATTGGGCAGCTTTATTTCTGCCCAGGATTTTTTCCTTTCTTCGTTGAAATCAACCTTTGTTACATGGTGGGATTTTGGTAGTTTGATTTTTTCCTTAAAGTTCAGCTTGGGGAAGAGTGTAAGCCCTACTATACCTCAGCAATGTGTTAGCATCATCTCTGGCTTTCCTAGCTGAGGTGCCCCAGATTTCCATGCTCCAGACCACTACAACTGATGCCCGGGAATGGGAATGTTTGTGTAGAGGGCATGAGCTGATTCCACCTCACCATTGCCTTTTCTTTGCAGCTGCTCTAAGGAAGTAATGGGTGGGAATGGAGTATGTTTTCTGTGCCTTTTTCATCCTAATTTTTAAATGGATGACATAAATAAGCTGTCTTTTGGATGGTTCTGTTTGTTTCTTTGAAGAGGGACAATATAGTTGGAGAGTGATGATGATGAGAAAAAACATCAGAAAAGAAGAATTTCAAAGCTGATTCTTCTGTCTGAAGGTTACAGTTGTATGGGAAATACTTGGGGTTTTGAAGTGTGCAAAAACTTCTATCCTAAAATGATAATTTCTTTGTCTAGCTTTGGATATTTTGGCAAAGAGCCACTAAAAGAGGTGAAGCTCTTGGTTTGCAGCATTGATGGATGCCTGACCAATGGTCGCATTTATGTGACAGAAGATCACAAGGAAATGGTCTCCTACGATTACAGAGATATTGTTGGCATTGATCTGTTGAAGAAAAGAGGAATCCAGGTAAGTGCTGTTCTGAAGAGTGAGCCTTCACGTCTCATGTAACCTGCACATTAAAAGATTCTAAAAAAATATATTCTTGCAGCATAGAAGTTGAAGTTTCTTCTCAGTGCTTGTGGTCAAGCAGCATAATATATTGGTTGGGACAAACGTTATCCTCAGAACCCCCAGAGGAAAATAAGTGTTTTGAGAAAGTTCTCAATCACAGTAATTACAGCATATCTCTCTCCATTTCACAGAATCAGAGAATGGCCTGTGTTGAACCATCTTGTTCCATCCCCCTGCCACAGGCAGGGACACCTTCCACTATCCCAGGTTGCTCAGAGCCCCATCCAGCCTGGCCTTGGACACTGCCAGGGATCCAGGGGCAGCCACAGCTGCTCTGGGCATCCTGTGCCAGGGCCTCAGCACCCTCACAGGGCACAATTTCTTCCTTATATCCAGTCTAATCCTCCCCTCTAACACTTTGGAGCCATTCCCCCTTGTCCCCTGTCACTCCAGGCTCTTGTCAAGAGTCTCTCTCCATCTTTCCTGTGGGCTCCCTGCAGACACTGGGAGGCCACAGTGAGGTCACCCCAGAGCCCACTCCTGTGAAATGGAGTAGATGTTTTTTCAACAGTCCCTCAGCTTCATTTTCTAGAAAGCCAGAGGGGTAGGAAGCTTGTGATCACTGTTTTGTTGCCTGAGCCTATTTCCATACCTTCTTTGACTTGGAATGTTTCATTGAAAATCTCTAGGTCTTGGTGCTGCACTTTATTTATTTGTAGTATATGTTGCTGATACAATCCTGCCTTTTGCTCCTCTTCTCTTCATTCTTTACTTAAAATGAGTGTCAAGCATTCGTTTGTATTTAAAAGCAATCAGGGAAGATAAGCTTGTCTACATCTTTGACAGAAAACCTGAAGGATTTGCATCTGAGGTTTCTAAAAATCCTGCTGCAATTATCTTCTGGTTTTAGCTTACCTTGTGCACCATTCCTGAAATTTTGAATTTGGAATGAACTTCCAGAGATAATGTGCTGTGCTGCTTCAGTCTGCGTGGTGTTGGTTTGGTGCTCTGAAATGGTGCTATAAATAAAGTTATGTTATTAAGTAGAGGAGTCAGGGAAAAAACTTCATGTTCTACTTTGGCAAATATTTCTTGGGAATTCTCTCATTCCACATTGTGACTTAATTAGATCATACTACACTAGATAGTCACCATGCCACCATACTGTGATATTTAGAATTTTGTTTAGTACATGTTGCATTTAAAAAGACATATGTAAATTATTTTTGAACATCAGGGAGGGCTGCAGAAAGGTATTTCACCTTCCTAAAGGAACCTCAAGACTCTGGTTTTGGATGCTAATCACTTCTGCTCTGAGTTTTGAAAATCAATCATTCAGTGCTTTTCCAGAGACAGCTTCTACAAGCAAAACTTGCTTTTTTTGGTAATAGTAAATCAACTTATATGTCATATTTCTTTGGTGTAAAACTTACTCTAATTTTATTTCTATAGGTTCGACTCATCTCTGACAGAGATTGTTCAAAAACACTGTCAGCCATGCAGCTGGGATGTGTAGCAAAAGTCAGTGTAACAAATAAACTACAGGTTCTGAAGGACTGGCAGGAGGACATGGGTTTGAGCTGGAAAGAGGTGGCTTACTTAGGTCAGTTCCTTTTCTTTGGTTTATTTAATTTAAATAGCATAGACAAATGGAATCATTGTACTGCTGCTGAGCTTCAAACCACTTTTCTCTTTGTAAATATACTGAATTTAATGGGATTGCTGTGCACATTGCAGCACACGATCACCAAAAGTAGGTATTTTATGGCCTGTTAGGGTACAATCTAAATGTTACAGACAGTGATGAATCTATGTAATTTGGTAAGGGAAGTCTTCACTGTTTTTCCAGTGGGCTGCAGGAAAGCTTTTGTTTTTAGGAAACATTTTGATATCAAAATGTTGATAAGTATACACTTTGAGCTGACAATTTTGAACTCATTGTAGTTGATTTCAGGGGGATATTGTATAGATTCTGTTCTGAAATGGTAGTCAGAAATGGACAGAATTAGAACTGAAAGCCATGTGCTTCTGTGCTAAACTGTATTTCAGAGACAGGCTAAGTGAGGAGTCCTGCCAATGCTTATTCAGCTGCTCACATAATTTTACTGCTCTTAAAAGTAGCATTCTCTTGCCTGAAGATTTTGAAGTGTGATCATCATTTATATGGATCACCATGATTTTCCAGCACCTGACTTGCATATGCAAAGTGCTGTTGAGCTGCTGAGATGAACATTGTGACCAAAAAAAAAAATTCAAAAATCAGATCACTGCATACCCAGTGTTTGCATACTCCAAACACTGAGAAAAATACTGATTCTTTCCCTTGTGTGATATTTGGCCTTGCCTGTCATCTTCCTCCCCAGGAAATGAGGAGTCTGACGTGGAGTGCCTGAAGCAGGCAGGCATGAGTGCTGTGCCTGCTGATGCCTGTGCTGCTGCCCAGAAGGCTGCTGGTTACATCTGTAAGAGCAGAGGTGGCTGCGGCGCTGTGCGCGAGTTTGCAGAACACATATTCCTGCTCTTAGAGAAAGTGAACTCTGCAAGGAAGCAGCTGGAAGAAATCAGCTCAGCAGGAAAGGAAATGGGGAGAAATGAGAACAGCAGGAAAGGAAATAAGGAGCTGATGGAAAAAGAGTAACGCCGTTGGTCAGTCCTGCCTTTCTTCCTCAGTACATCCATATCCCAAAGGAATGCTTACCTTTCAAATTTTACAGCACAGTAGAGTTAAAAAGGTGTCTCCTCCTAATTGCAGGTCCCACATTCATGATTGTATGCTGAAAATATGATCACATCCATGATGATTTTAAAAGCCATTTAAGTGCAATGGGAGGAATGCTACAAGAGAGAGTGCCCTGTAAATCTGCTCTTAATCATCACACCTGTCCTACAGGAATGCCACCTCTTTATTTCATAATCTGGATGTTTTCAGGGATTAATGATTTTGCATGACTTGAAGATTTGTAATTCAGGCTTAAAAACCCCATAACTTCTGTCAGTTTTGCTCATGTGATTTGCATTTCTTTTATCAAATGCATGGCGTTGTGGTTGTGTGATTGCATTTTACAAGCTTTGTCCTTGGAAAGGAAGAGTTTTAACATGTGCTGGAGAGGTCAGGTGTAAAATACTTATCAATAAAACTTCCTCCTCTATTTTTAAAATACAGCACAGTTACTGTAAAATAAGTTAATATTCATTTAAAAAAGCACTTTAATATGTGTCCAGTTTGAAGCTCATAAATAAATAAATCACATTTGGAATTGTGCCTCTTGGAATTTGTTTATTTTGGGTTTTAATGAAGTGCCTAAATGAATATTTTGCCAAATTTGGAGTTATATTTCCCATTGTCTTTGAGATCTTTGCAGGAACTCAGTTTCTTTCTATGAAGACCATATTGCAACCTCAAAAGAGTTAAAGCCAAATAAAAGTCTTTAGGTTTATTGTATGGAAAAGTAGCTGCTGTTAAAGAAAAAACAAAACCAAACTATAGTTGATGTGGGTTTTCATAAAATATATATACAGACTACTTTTAGCATGTTAAGACTGGTTTACATGCTTGTATTTATTGAAAATAGGAATTGTATTGTACATTACAAATACAATAGTATATATCAGACTTAAGTTCTGGTTTGGATTATGCTAAAAAATAAAAATACCCATGGTACACTGGCAATTACAAGTGAGGTGAATGATAATGGCTTGTCATTTTATTTTGTTTCTCTGCTAAATTTTGCATTGTATAAATAGTTATACTCCCAGTATATCACCTGATATACTGGCCTCTGATAAACTTTGTGTTTACTTCCTTTCAGAAAGCAAAATGTTGAACTGAAATGATTTACTGCCTATCTACAGTTAACAGATAAATTGTTTATTGTACTAATCAGCTCTAAGTCACCTAAATTTAAGTGTCTCAGTCACGTTTTAAGGTTCTGTGTTGGATAAATCCCATGGACTTTCACAAGAGGGGAGCCACATTTTGGACATCAATGTTTTAATATTGATGAATTCATGGTATAATCTTACATTGGAAAGAATATGAAGGATAAAAGAGCTCTAGAGACTGTTTACCAAAAAAAAGATATGGGATATGCAGGATCTGCTTCCTAAAAGGTTCAGATTTGTATTGCCCACACTGTAGTGGAAAATCTAATTACAGGATAGGAGCAGGGATGCCTTAATTACTCCTCTTGATTTTATAGAAGAGCCTCAATCATATGAAGGATTTAAGGGTCAGAGAGGCAGAGACAGTGAGGGTAACTCTGTCACCTTAGAGGTGAAATACCAAGGTCCAGGAAAGGTCCAAATGTGTAGAATATTTTCCCAAGTCCTGTTCCAGTACATGTGACACAACACTGCCTTTGATTAGAGGGCTATTACTCATTCAGAGTAGATTTCAATGGTCAGTTTTGTTATTCTGGGATAATTCTGAGATCATCTTTTGGCCCTGTGAGCTCTTGTTTTTTTGCTTCAATTAGCCCAGGTTATTTCAAAGAAGATCTTAGGTAATGTGGGCTATTCTGTCATGATTATGTGGAATGGAAAAACAGGAAACTATGTAAATATTTGTAGTAAGCTATTATGAAAAAGTAGCTGATTACATCAAATTTTAAATAAACAGCTTTCTTTAGTCTTCTAAGTAGAGAATGGTTATGGGCTGGCTTGTGGTGAGTTTCTGTACTGCAAATCATACACTCCCAAGTTCATGTGCCACACAAATGATTTATGATGGCAAAGGTGGACAGATTTAGTGCCCAAATTACCCCTTCACACCTTCACCCACTTCTGACTCTCATTATTTATTTTTATCTGTTTTTTCTCCTATTCAGTTTATCTTCCTTTCCAGTTCCTATTTGGTGATGCAACAAGTTCTGACCTTAAGTCAATTCAAATCAATATGAATCACATATATCTTTTGAAGTCAGAGATATGTTTTAATACTTGCTGATTTCAAGTTTTTAAGACTTTTAAACCTTGATCACACATTTTAGGTAACCAGTTTTTCCAGAGCCTATGTGGGGGAAGGTTTTTCTGTTAGTTTGGTCTTAAAACACTACCTTTTGCAGCAATAAGTTTAAATTAGTCTAATTCTACCCAGTGGGACCAATCATTCAAATTGTTACCATTACAAGAGCAGTAATGCTGTACAGAAGAAAAACACCATTATGTGTGACCCTGATGCATAAATGGGTTAGAAAAACTTACCAGTAATACACTTGTCTGAAAAATCTTTGGATGGTGGGTTTGTTTCTCTGTCTCCTGTTATGGGACAGGTTGGTCTATCCCCATTTCTGATTCTAGGTATGTTTATGGATGTGGCTCTGGTTTAATAGAGCATTCCCCATTCTGTGGGAGAGGCATGAAAGAGAATGAGCAGTGAGCAATGGGAAGGTAATGATACCAAATTATTCAGGTTAGCAAAGAGAGGGTCTGGTGAAACTGAGGTGTATATAAAATAAGCTGAGCTTAAATGAAAAACAATCCTAACATAAGTGTTAACATATCCATTTTCACAGAGCAGTTATAATTCAGAAAAGTATCTAGTGGTTTGAAGTGTGTGCTAGCAGTTGAAAAAACAGAAATTATTAGAAAAAGAATATATAGCAAATAGGATAAAAATAATCCACTGTATAATTCAGTGGTTTGTGTGTATCTTGAATACTGCATGTTTTGTTTATTTTGTGTTGAAAAGGCTGTAGCATTCCAAAGGGAGTAAATGTGGGAGGATAAAATGGATGATGTAAGACAGGAATCAGGTTCAGTCACAGCAGTAGCCAAACCAGATTTCTTCACTTTGGACTGAAGGGAGTTGTGTTAAAATATCTGTAAAATTAAAGATGGGAAGGCATGGAAAGGCCTGAGGAATATAAATTTACCATGTTGTATTTAGTGATGCTTTCCAGTTTTTCTGTGGCCTCAGCACATTTGCAGCTCGTGGATTTCCAGAGCTGGACATGGATGACAGACATTTAATGAACCTCAGAATACTTAAAACAGGCTTGGGCCATGTATTTCATGAATCTGACACTAGACAGAGTTCTGGTTCTGAACCTTGGATTCTTCTTCCTATTTCTTGTGCAGGAAATACCCTTTATTTCTTTTTCACAATGTATGTTAGTGGTTCATTCTGTGTCAGTGTGTAGCTCTGATACAGTGAGCCGAAGAACACGGCATTACTATCATCAATAGGACTAATCTAATCTTTAAAAATTAAGGAAAATAGGGCAAAAGTGCATGCAGAATTATGTAAGAGTACAGGTACCTTGGATGAATCAGTGATCATTATTATCTGTAGTTAGAGATACAGTAAATTGCTGTGGAAGTTCCCTGCCAAAATGTACTCAGAGGTTTGGAGAACATTCTGGAAAGTACCATGTTTTTCCTGATTGTTCACATGCTTTGCAGACAAGTTTCTGGCCTAAATTGAAATATATCTGGACTAGTTATGACTACTCTTGTATTAAACATGGAAATAGTCTCTCCAGGGCTGTAACTTTTATCTGAAGGTATAGCTGCACACCTATTTATGGCTAGTACAGTGGGCACAGTAGCCTGTTTATGGCTACTACAGTAGCAGTAATCCAAGTACGATTTTGTTTTTACTGTTCCACCTTTTTTTTCCTGGGTACACACTGTCCACAGCAGTTCAGACTCAGGTTGGGAGGGGATCAGTCACCACTCACTGATCCTCCTGAGCAGTGAGGCCCAGCAGAAGTGTTTCTATTCATCAGATAATGCTTGCTCTAAAAAGCTTCAAAATGGGGTGAAGTACATCAGAATCAGAGAACAAGCTGAGTTAGAAGGGACTCCTCAGGATGAGGAGTCCAGCTCCTGGCCCTGCACAGACCCCCCAGCAATCCCACCCTGTGCATCCCTGAGAGCGCTGTCCAAACACTCCTGGAGCTCTGGCAGCCCTGGGGCCATGTGCATCCCTGGGGAGCCTGTTCAGTGCCCCAGCACCCTCTGGGGGAAGAACCTTTCCCTGATACCCACCCTGCCCCTCCCCTGGCACAGCTCCAGCCATTCCCTGTATCCTGTCCCTGGTCACACAGAGCAGAGATCAGGGCCTGCCCCTCCCCTTCCCTCACGAGGGTGCTGTGGCTGCAGCGGGGCCTCCCCTCAGTCTCCTCCAGCTGAACAGAACCAAGTGGCCTCAGCTTCTCCTCATTCCCCTCACGGCCCTTTACCCGATTTAGACAAATATAAAACACTCCCATTCGTGTCACTTAATGAACTTCTAAGTTTTCCTAAATATATTTATCATGATCTACCTTTGGATCAATTCCATTCTCTGAATGCTGCCTCTTAAAGGACCTTATCTCTGCCTGGAGTCTGAACTGATTTTATGGGCAGTAGTTCTGATAACTCACAAACAGGCCCTGGTCTTGGCTTGCCGCATCAGTGTATCAACACTTGGAGCACTTTGCTCAAACAAAGCAGACATTTGATTTATTATGGAAGTCAAGAGGTTTTAAGGGGATTTGGGGGTAAACTTGCAGGCAGTGCATGGCAATGTAGAGAACAAACTGGAGCAGTGCCCTGCGGTGCCTCTGAACTGCTGCCCCTGCTAGCAGCAAGGGAGCTCTGGCTACTCCAGCCAGGCTGCTTGGGTAGCACAGAGACACATGGCCTAGTTCTGATTAAGCCCTGCTGAAACTTTTTTTTTTTTTTTTTTTTTTTTTTTTTTTTTTTTTTTTTGTTAATTTTAACCTACATAAATCCTTTATTTGGCCAGTAGGCCATGCTGTAAACTGATTCATTCCTCATCCCCCCAAAGCAGCTAGAGAGCTAACTGCGCTTTGAGCAGCACACTGTTACCTCCCTGGCTGATGGGTAGGTTTAAGTAGTTTAGCAAGCTTACCTGATCCACAAGGCAAGTCCTCATTCTGTCCCTTCACACACAGTTCCACATTGTGAGTATAATGTTGATATAAACAATCCTTTTTCTGTGTGCATACAATATGTGGTACCAACACTGCTTACAGCAGTCTTAGTGCAGCTAAACTCACTTGCAAACCTCATTTCCCCAAGGACTCTGGCTTTTTTTCCCATACTCAAATGGCCAGAAAAAAATAAGTCCCTAAGTAAAATGTTCAATTATTTTCATCAGCAGATCTCTTGCCACTTATTAATAGGGGAAGAACAACACCTGAAAGGAGGGCAACAGTGGCATTCTAGGGGAAGAGTGAGTGATTTTAATGTCAGAAGAGTAAAGTAACATATCAAATGGTTATTTGTATAGAGCAGGGCATCATCTCCCCCAGGTTGTGTTGAGTTGGTAAATGGCAAAGGACTGCACACAGGCTTTTCTTCCGCTCTCCTCAGCACCATAACTTCTGTGTCTTTGTGCAGGTGCAAAATCAGTAGGTGTTGATGCCAGCTTGCACAAAGCAGATATGAAATGAAGTGGCTGCCTGGCAAGTGTGAAGTGTGTGGCTGGAGGGAGATGAGTGTTGATGAAACAAGGTTGTTTCTGTACCTCAGAAACAACACACCCAGGAGAGGAGCTTCTCTCACACACAGGAACTGTGTTCTGCCTTGAAGCTGTGTGGCTTGGTAGAACACTCCCTGAGACATGGACACAGACAGCTGATTCTTGGAAAATCTGTTTATCAGGCAGAGTAAATAAATAAGTGCTGTTTGGATTAAGCTGTCTCTGAGCTGTGGTTTGCTTTTGTTGCTCAAGGAGTAGGAAGTAAAATACTTCTCATCAAAACACTGGAAACAGGAATTTTGCAGGAAGAAAATCAAATGGAAAATAAACACATTTATGGTTGCTCAACATGTGGTGCTGAAATTTATTTGGATTTGTATCAGTTCCATTTAAAACACAAAGACTCTCTGGTACCTAATCCAGAAATAAGTTACATCAAAGAACTATACAGTGTTAGAAAATAAAAGAAAAAAAAAAAAGAAACACTTTTGTAAACAAACTTCAGATCTTCAAATGCTGCAGTTTTCAACTTAATTATCAATAGCCATGTCCAATAAGACAGGCACTTCCAAATCATGGTGTGTTACAGAAGGAGCAAGTCTGGGGTCAAATTTTTGGTAATTTTCTTATTATATGTTTTTAGATTTCTTATACATTCAGTTTCTTGCAAGTTTGTCATTTGTTTTTCTCTTCATATTATCTTGGGTAAAATTCTTTATTCAGGTTTATGAAGTCTGTTCATATCCCCTTGGAACAAAGAAAATAAATAAATGATGAAGTAGATGTGGTTATCAAACCAAGGTCTGACACCTGACTCTGAAACCACGTACACCTGCCCTCTGAGAACTGAGTTCAGCTCTGGCACTGTGTCAGAACTTTCCTGTTCTCAAGAACCCATGTTTACCCATCCTTCCTACTGGAAGAATTATAAACTCATGGGAATACCCATTCAGAACTTCCCACCAACTGGTTTGTGCATGTTTGTTGATAACTGGATATTGTTCTTCACAGGGACTCAGTACTCATAGGTGAAACTGTTTGCCATCTTGCTGAGTTTCATTTTCTCGTTAAATATCTCCTGGAACCTAATATTCTGCTTTGGAGTGAAGTAGTTCTTCCAATCACCAACAGCACCTAGTAAAGCAGGAACAGAAAGAACAGTGAAGTGAGCAATGTGTGGAGCAGAAAATGATTTTAAAATAGCCTGGTTTTGTTAATGTTGCAGTTGGCACAGATATTAATATATTCCTAACCACAGTCACTGTGGTAGGTCAGGATCATAATTGTTCCAGTGATACTCTGGTGGACAGATCTGATCATCATCCATGAAGGTTGATGACCCTCATCCTCAGAGCTGATTAGTGCCAGCAACACAAGTGGTGGAGGAAGAAGAGCAGCTTTCCAAGGGGGAATTAGAGCTCATGGTGATCTGGGCAGATGCCATGCCTTAGCTGAGTGTAGTTAAAGGTCTCTGCCTGGGTTTTTTCACAGTCAGTAGAAGAAATTGTAGAATCACAGAGTGGTTTGGGTTGGAAAGGACCTTAGAGATCATCCAGTTCCATCCCCCTGCCATAGGCAGGGATGCCTTCCACTAACCCAGGTTGCTCTGAGCCTCATCCAGCCTGGCCTTGGACACTGCCAGGGATCCAGGGGCAGCCACAGCTGCTCTGGGCACCCTGTGCCAGGGCCTCAGCACCCTCACAGGGAGGAATTTCTCCCTCATATCCAATCTAAACCCACTCTCTGTCAGTGTGAAGCCATTCCTCCTTGCCCTGTCATGCCAGGCCCTTGAAAAGAGTCTCTCTACTAGATGGTCTTGTAAATAGTCAAAAAATTAATAGATTTATAAAACAGTTTGGGTGGGAAGGGACCTTTACAGGAAATTGTAATCACCATCTAAACTTATTAAATGAGTGGTAGCCCAAAAGCCACTGACAAAAAAGATTCCTAGAAAAGGAGCCCAGAATGGCCTGACAAATTAATCCCACCCTTACACCTGCTCCTGATCTCTAGGAATTTTTATGGATGAGATGTCCAGCTACTTAAATGAGCAGTTGAATATTTCTGGGGGGCCATGGACACCAGTTGAAAAGTGTTTCAACTGTTACCCAGTTCAAGCAAAAAGGAAATCGTTCTATAAACTGATACATTTTTATGAGACTATGCTTACAGTTTCCCTCCATGTGCATTTTCTAAAGACTCTGCATCCCAAACCTGACTAAAATAATCATCCCATTTTCTGACTAAAATAGCATTCAGTATGCTGCCCTAAAGGACAGAAAAAGAGAACCCAAAGCAAAATATATACATATGACTCCTCTGTAAACTGGCTGAAACTAGCTAAACATCTGGGATTAGCAAAGGAACTACTTGGATGTGAAAATGTTGGGATTTTTCAACATTTTCATCATATCTGTCAAAGTTCACTGACTGAGAAAAATGCATCTCTTTTTTTTTGTTTGTTGCTTTTTTATTGACAGATTGTATGTTGTCATTTGTTTTTGCTGACTGGCAAAACCATTGTGAATTAATGGAAGGTAGTATTTCTCTGTTTATTAACTGAAACAACTCCTAGTTTTAAACTGTCTGTTGTTTTCAAAAATTAACTAAATCAAAATAATTTTAAAAACCAGTGGGTTTGTTTGACTTGTTATCCAAACCTGTGGAAGGTTCTGAAATGCCAGGAGCAAGAAAACAGCTCCTGAGGGTATTTTAAAATGACATCTGAACTAAGAACTGTGGAAAATTTTCCAAGGTCTGGAAGTTACCTATGACCATTCTGTTGTTGTTGTTGTTGTCAGCATATTCCTTCTTCAAGAATATTTCAGTAAGATAAGGGGCGATAGGAGCAGACTCATTCAGAAGGAATGTGTCTGGCTCTTTCTTATTCTAGTTAACTAAGTGACCTTGGCAGGTGATATCAGAGACGTTGTAAAACACCAAGGTGGTCAACTTTTAGATTAAAAAAAAGACTGATAAAGAGTATTGCTGGGTGAAGCTTTCCTTTTGGTTCCACAGCTCCCACAGAGCAATATTAGTCACGCTATAGTTCAGACTCCTCTGTGCTTCTCGAGTACAAGTGGGAATTTGCAGCCAGAGAAGTTAGGAAGTCATTTTTAATAGGGATTCAGGCCAAAGAATCCTGTCATCACTTCCCAGGGCTGACCCAAAGACTCCAGGAAAGACCTGCACTGCAGTCTTTGTCTGGATTCCCACTGCTTCTCCTGTGCTAGGCACAAAGGAATTTACCTTTTCGGAAAATCAGCTTCCTGTTGGATGTCAGAGCACACACGGTGTGACTGGGGTCGCTGTTCTCCTTCTCTGTGTCATTCTTCATCTCTGAGAATGAGGACTTCTTGCAGATGTCTTGGATATCATCATCACTGACATTTAAATTCAGGAACAGAGAAATTTCTTTTACAACCTTAGGGAGATCCTGAGGTATAAGAAAAATACAGCTTTTATGTTTCTGGGCTGATTATCAGACTTTTAGCTGATTTGAAAATTATCCCTTTTATTACAAAATGAGTTTGTCACACATTTATTTGCTTTCAAGCAAGGCTAAATATGTCATTGGATTGTGCACATGACAGGTACAGTAAACCTGATTCCCCTCTTAGCCATACTCACAGAAATTAATAAATAAGTATGTCATATCACACACAGTCACTTTGTCAGTTTTATCTCCCACTTCAGATAAAATGCTCTCCTGTCTCTCAGAATTATTTCCCTGGAAGAATACTCAAAACCCAGTTCCAAGTAGCTTGTTCAATTGGACATGCTGCATCTAGAGATCTAACAAGTGACTCAGCATCCAAAATGGTTTGTTTATATTCCTAGGAGTTGAAATTTTTTCTCCCAAAAAATGAACAAACCTATTTTCATGGAGACACTAGAAAATGTTTTCTATTCACCTAAAAATTTATTCTCTGAAAGCTAAGGTATGCTGACATTTTACTTATTCTTTTTTTAAAGCAGTGAAATTTTTCCCTACCCCTCCAGCCTCTAATTTTCTTTTTTATTGGGAACACAAGTCCCAAATGTGAGTAGTTCTGTTGTCTTACATCACTTTCTGAAAATTTCACCTGAAATGTCAAACATAGCAAATTAATGTGTGATCCTCAATAGATGTCCCTGGTTGGTCTTTCCATAGGACAAAAAAAGGGAACTTAAAGTTCTGCCTGAGCCTGAGGAAAATTGTCTAATATGAGTCCTATTCCTGCATCTAAGAAATGCAGCTCTCACAAAATTTCATGTTTATATAACTTGTGTAGTCAGAATTATTTAGTTAATACTAAATTCCATGCAAATAAAAAATATGTCCAAAGATACATATTCACATTTTCCTTCTTTCTCCTTTTTCCTTATAACTTCTTCTTTGATGTTTTAATGATGCTAATTTACAAGTAATGCCTTTTGCACCAAGAGCAGAGAGCATATTTACCTTCTTCATGTCTTCATAGAACAAAAAGAGGATATTTTTCTCATCTTCATGTTCTTCCCAGCTTAGGAAATGATCAAACCAGGATCCACAGACAACTGAAAGGAAAACCCATGTAAAGAGATCCAGAAAAACTTTATTCATAAATAACTGTGATGCTAGCTCACGCATTTAGGGGAATAACTTGTATCTATAATCCTCTAAAACACTGGCAGTTCTTTGTGACAAGCGATACAAATTTACAAAAGTAACTTCCAAAGAGGTTTCCACTCTTGTTGGAATTTGTTTTCATGCCAGATACTATTCTGAGATATGATTCTGTAGTGGAAGCAGGCTCCAGATCTAAGGAAAGGCCAATAATGAAGTAAAATGTCCTGGCCTAACAAGATGTGAGCATCTCACAGATGTCTGCTGCATGTCTGTGGTCACAGAGATCTGATCACCTCAGCAGGAGATGAAATGAGCAGGCTGGCAAATGGAGCACACAGTTGTTACCTCTCATTCATCCCAGCAGAAGGGAATCTGTATAATTTTTAAATGCTGAAGAAGAATTACTTAAAGAACTCATGCAAATGCCTCATTCAGCCAGTGACACAGACAGAAGGGTTTGTAGCTAATTTGTTTTTTCTGAATTCTCCATTTGCCAAGCCATGGGAACACAGCTAAATTTCAGCTCCTTTAAAAACCAAAATTCTGACCTCTCCATTTCAAAGGCAAGGTGAAAACCTCTTGCAGGGCTGAGAAGAGGCTTGAACAGAGAAAGCTCAGCAAGCATTCTCCAGATCTGTGACTTTGCTTAATAACCACCACCAGCAGAAAATTCTAATCTTGTAATGGTCATCATTTTGGTCACAAACTATGAGTTGTAATTAATAATTAATAGCTAAAATTAAGCTGAATGCTCCAGTCTGGAGCCATCTCCAGCATATAAAGCAGTTTCTAAGTGCAAGCAAGTGCAAGTGCTCCACAGTGTGCAATTAGACCCTTCTCCCCTGGCCAGCTGCTCTGGAGATGTGGCCAGTGATAGCACAATCCTGGTGGCTTCAGGAGAGACTTGGAGACTCCAGGGAGTTCATTACAGTTGTCCCTGTGTGTCCTAACCCTTGTATTGAGCTGATATTAACTCTGCAAGACTACTGCAGGATTTGGATCAAGCAGCACAACCTTGAAATGTTTCTACTAGGACTAAAAAATGACCACCTTTCTCTCCACATCACCTCTTACCTAAATTTCTCTTTAACCAACATAGTTATCTATTTATGCCACACATAAGCACTCAGAAAATAGAAGGTGGTTAATCATTATGGGGAAATAGGACATGTTTTAAAATCATAGAAGCACAGAATGCTTCAGATTGGAAGGGACCTTAAAGATCATTTAGTTCCAACTCCCCTGCCATGGGCAGGGACACCTTCTACCAGAGCAGGTTGCTCAGAGCCCCATCCAGCCTGGCCTTGAATAGAATCCTCTTTCTTTTTTTCTTTTTTCACTATTGCATATTCAGAGTTGATACCAAACAAGCCAAGATCCTGCAAATCACTGAAGCATGTGCCTTAGGGCTGCTCTGGACTCAGAACACAAGATCTGAGCCAAAGCCTGGAGGAGGCAGTAAACAGATTGACTCCTGGAGCTCTGATTTGAGTCTGTGATGACTGCAGGAGCACTTTTCTTTTGGGGTTTTCAAGGTAATCAATCATTATTGCTGTTATCATCACTGTGGTGACACATGTCCTCAAAGGAGTAATAAAACACTAAATATGGGAGTGGAAAATTTGAACAAGGTCCTGTTGCCAGATGCCATCCCACCACTCCTGAAAAATCTCCCTCTTGTCCTTGGTCTTTGGACTCCATTTCTGAGACAGCACATCAGGGAGAGGTGTGCAGAAGGGCTGTAGGAACGTGTCCAGGCTTCTTTGTTGGGCTGCCCAGGGCGGTCTCCCAGCCTGGAGAAGACACCAGACCTGCAGTCACAGCTGTCCCTGCAGCCTGGTGACAGTGCCCTCACATGCTCTGTCACCAGCCACAGCCCTGCTCGCCCAGGGCAGCAATGAGCAGCAAAAACCTGCCAAGAGCTGTGCTGGAATGATGCAGCTGCTTCTCAGAATGACTCCTTGCAGGGCTGAAGAGAGCTTCCTATTATTTGCTCTTGTTTAGCTTGGCATTAGGATTTAGCCCCACCAACCCCATATGAATAAGGAGTTCAATAAGGAGTTTTCACACAGTTCAAATTTCTTAAGTCATTCTGTGCATAACAAACTAAAGTGAACTGCAAAGAGAAAACATTTAACCTTACCATTGCCTTTTAAGAACAGGTCAAAGAAAGCAGTCCAGCTGTCTACAGTGGGAAGGTTTGGGTTATCTCTGTAGTAATGAAACATGGAAACTGCAGTGTCTTTTGGATTTCTGCTGATGTAGATCATCTGCAAATGAAGAAAATGTAGTTATTAATTATAATATCCTCCCTTTATTTAAGACAAGCTCTGTGTGTAAATAGAGCATTGTCATAGGCAGTTTGCAGTGTCAAAACCCTTTCTTTTAGAATTCCTCCATGTCATTAAATTAGAAATCTCTGCTTAGTAAGGAGTCCATAGTGATTAACAAACAATTCCATGTGGACAGAGGTATGTTTGCCCTGGCTGGATAATGCCTTATGTTTTATGAAAGAGCCTGTGTTACTTTAACCTTGAGTCAGCATATTATCTCATATATCTCACATATGAAAGCACTTACTAATTAACATCCAAAGGACAGCTGCAAAATGTAAATTTTGGCCTTTTACTCAAATCAGCTTTGTCTCAAAAATCTGGATCTGAGTGATCCTGAAATTTTTGACTTTGAATATAAAATCTGAGACCCAGAGTTTGTTTTTTAAATCTCCCACATGAGCATAGGAGGAACTGGTTTAGTAGGTGTCCCTACCCATTGCATGGGGATTGGAACAAGATGATCTTTAAGGTCTTTTCCAATCCAGGTGATTCTGTGATTCTGTGAACTCTAAACTGTGATCTGAATCTGCCTCCCTCATATCATTTCTGTCTGTTTGCCCAACGCCTTTATGGGCTCCTCAGAAAGATCCAGCAGGAGGGTCAGAGTTCTTTTACTCCCAGAGAAGCCTGTAAGTAGCCAAGATTTTCCAAGAGAGTAGAAAATGAGGTCATGAGAACACCCCAATTACTAATGAGAGACTTTTGATCGAAAGATGTTGACGTCCTATTTTGTGTGGTGCCTGGTGTAAAAATCACCCCATGGGAGCAGTGGGGCAGGAGCAGAGCCCAGTCACCAGTCCAAGTCTCTGCTCCTGCTGCTTTCAACTGGTGGTCAGCTGTGTCTCCAAAATTCACAGCAAAACACTTCTAAAACTGTGAATCATTCAAAAATTACTAAGGATCAACACGACAAAATAGATTCCTAGTAGACTTTCTACATATTTTACTGCTTTGATATCATTTTTGCCTTACCTTGCATTTCTTATTCTTAAAATTTGGAGGCAACATGTTGTAGTCTAAGTGTGTTGGGATGATTCTCTTTGATGAGAGTTTATTCAGTTCCTCCAGTCGGGAAATGTCTCCAAGTTCAATGGGAGATGTTACTGTGACTCGAGTATCGTAAAGCTTTGTTATAACTCCTGCAAGCCAGTGAGTGCCTACAGAAGAGGAATTTTAAGTAAACAAAACAAACAATAAAAAAAGGATGAATGTTTATTACTGTGAAACATGCATTTTTCATACAGAAACACCTTGCCAGTGAACAAGTTATATTTCTAATCTACAGATTCAAGAAACTTTACACGACTAAATAATCCCATTGGCTCCAAATATATAAACACTGAAAAAATTAGGGCTATATCTGAATTACAGAGTAACTCTGAGAGAAGTGTTAATATTGGTAACAAAACCATTCCATTAGACAAACTGCTGTCAGCTGAGAGGTGGCTAAATTGTTTTTATAATTTATTTTAGAATAACCTGTTTGTTTGGGTTTTTTTTTTTCCTTACAATAACTTGAGTCTGTATATTTCTGAAAGCATTGATTGAGCTCCCCCTGCACGTGTGCTTCTGTGTCCAAGAGAGGTGGGTGGAGAGAGGATAAGAAATTAATAAATCTACAGCCAAGAGGCACACAAATAACTTCATACAATTCTCGACTTGCTCATAACTGAATGTAGAAAGTCCTCAAGAAAATCTTTCAAGTGCAGATTTTGCTTACAGGTCAGGAATACAAATTTGTTTTCCAACATGAAAACACCTGAGATTGTTCTCAATTACAGAATCCAAATTTTGGGAAATGACCCATATTTCTTGTAATATGAACATTTACTGACAGAATAATACATTCACATACTTAAACATCCTTTCCTTTTTCTTTCACACAGACATTTCCCAAGTAGTTTAAGCAGAGAACATGAAACACAAAATCAAGACTTCTTGCAATTAACATTGAAAATGAGAACTTACCAGATTTGGGATAGGAAACCAAAAGGACATCATCCTCTCTAGCATCAAAAGTATCCAAGGATTTTAAAAGCTCTGGAGAAGACCTGGTGGTAAAAGGAATCCCCTTAAATGTGTGCAGGAGCTCTGCCTCGCCTGAGCTGGACATGGTTGCTTAAGTCTTGGGTTCCTGCAAATCAGATAACAGGGATAGGAGGAAGATTTAAATGTCACTTCTCAGTCAGGTGGCTGGAAGTGACAAACCGGGACTGAGCAGCACAAACCTCATGCTTATATACCTTGCTGCAATGCCCTATCAGATATTGATTTGTTTTTTCAGGTAGTTGATAAAGGCAACTGAAATATTAGAGCTAACTTAATAAATAACCAAAATGCTGAGTCATAAAAAATGCATCCCATTTGTCATTTATTGGCTATCCAGATAAAGAAATGAAGTAATGGTAAAAATTTAATTGTGAAAAATAATGGCAATTAACATTACATTAAAATATGCTTAATATGATTATTCTGTAAGTTATATTTTGTTGGAAAATATTCTTACCTTCCAAGGAAAAAGCTGCATCTTAAAATAATGTTGATTTTTAGAGAAACAATGTCTTTTTTTATGTGAATGAAATTTTTTTTTGTTTGTTTCATTTTGTCAACTATACAACAGCTTGAAATTTCAAAAGTGCAAATTGATTCAAAGTGCTTGAATTTTGTGAGGCACAATCATTTTTTAAGATGTTATATGTCTCCATAAGGAGAGTATAAGCAATAAAAATCCCAAAATGAAAGCAGATATTTGAACAGATATATTATATAGATATTTAATGTTGCTTTTAATCCTGTGTGTTTTGTGACTGGAAGTGGTTGAAGATTTTAAAATCTTTCTACAGAATTTGCAGATTTATCAATACAAAAGTCACTTTCAGGAAAGAGCCAGTTCTCCACTAATTATCTGTTTTCAAATGTTTGGGTTTGGTTTTTTCCATTTGAATCTGTGGAAATTATCATTAATATTTTTCAAACTGAAAACTTCACTTTTTTTTTTATGTGACCTTAAGCAATGTGAATGTATCACAGTAAAATAAATAGCTCAGTTATGAACTAAAACATGTTAGAATGTTTAGTATTTTCAATTTTCCCTTCAATAGTCACAAATTAATTTACTCTTTTTTTACATTCTTTTCTTCCAGTGGCTTCACTATTCCTATTGAAAGATTCCTCCAATATATTCAGCCAAGGCCCTTCAATATCTTCAACTCAAAAACCTCCTTGGAAATCTTGGTTTAAAATTAAGCAATGCTCCAGGAATTTTCCAGCTTTACCAATGTTCTTTTTTTATCATCAATAACAACTTGGGTTTGGTCAGAGGAGTTCTGATTCCCAGATGTACTCCCCTGAGCTGTGGTGAGAAGTTAATAAATAGACATATCCTTCCAATAAACACCTGAGCAGCCAGGATTGCTCGCAAGAAGTAAGAACACTTACCAGCTTCTGTGCTTGCTTATTTCTAATCCAATTTCCACAAAAGCCAGCAATGTAAAGTTGATTTCCCCCACCACCCTTTCCTTTCTCAATCTCAAAGAGAAGTGATCTTCTCACCTGTAAAGTTGTCCTTAAACATTTATCACCTACAAAACATGACCTGTGCCATCAGTAAACTCTGAATTTCTCTCCTGCTGGGCCAGGTTGGGTTGAAAATCATCGAAAATACACTCTGGAATGATGTTCCCTATTGCTAAGGATGAGAGGTGGTGGGGAATCTTTCCAGAAAATCAGTGGGGATACAAGAAACATTGGATATAGGTGCTCAGGTAGAAATTAGGGAATGTCCCAGAGGAGCTCAACATTTTCCTCCTGCCCCCAGGCTAAACACCTAAGCCACTGCTTCATACCTTAAGATGTGAATACTCAAAAATCTATTTCTGTCAGCAGATTTCACTTTGGTTACTTCAGGTATACAAACTATGTCCAAAGGCATAAAAACCCTGTTCCTGTGTCATTCTGAATGTGCATATTAATCTGAATTTACAGAGAGAGATATTTCCAAGGTTGATTTTGCAAGTCATCATTCCAGTTACAGGCACATAGCACAAGCTAGTAAAACTTTACTGCCTTGACCTGGCAGAAGTAATCTCATTGTAAAATGTTTTGCATATTTACCATGCTTATTCTCTTTCATTTCCTCCTGCATTCTGGCTAGTTTTGAATCAGCACATTTGCCTGATCTAATGACTTGGACCTGAATTAATCATTCACAATAAAAACTGCTAAGGTGTAAAACAGAAGCCATACAGTAGCCAGGAAAATTCCAGTTCTTTTAGCTCATTTCAGTTGCTTTTTTTAGTAGCTTATCTTTTAAGTGTGTGCAATGGCAATCCAGGGGAAATGAAACTGAAATTTTTCCTCCCCAAATGCTGCCTATACTTGTAAAATAAGGCCTATCCCTGCAAACAATCAGTATCCTGAATTGCAACAACTTAAGGAACAAGAGGATATTTGGCACTCTGCAGAAAAAAGCTATTATTAAAACCATGCTAACTACATTGCCATAAAATACATTATTATAGCTATATTATACAAAGAGAGCACGGGTTTAAAGAAGACTATGCCAAACTCTCCATCCAAGTTTGATTTTCTTCTTTATCAATGTATGTGTGTTTATATATACTTGTTATATACATACATATGGTACATATGGTACATATATATATACACATATGGTGTGTCTATATATACATGTTTACATATCTATATATATGTAAACATGTATATATAGACACAGCAGGACTGCAGTACCTATTGCCTGATCTCTGCACCAGGCTCTGAGGAGCTTTTCCCAGTGCCAAGTTCTCCTTGTTCTGGTCTCTGCTGTCCATACTGATGGAGTGCACATGTCACCAGCAGGTTTCACCAGTATTTTCTTTCTGGAGAGCAGTGCCAAATTTGGATTTTGGGGATTCTTCATGATTTGAGATAAATGTAGCTGGGCAGCTGGGCATTGCTTCAGTCCAGCTCTTCCTGTCTCCATATCTGACTTACCTTCTCCCATCTAGATCCTTGTCGGGTGAGAAATTTCTTTTTAAATTACTTTAAAATTTTGACTGTTCTGTTCCTGCCTCTGCCCTGCAAGTTCCAATTCAGACTCCCCATCCTCTTCTCTGCTTGATGAAAGGCAGTACCATGTACATCTCCTTCAGCTGAAGATTTCTCAGCTGAGGCCAGCCTGTTCCCCTCCAAACCCCTCTCAGGCAGCATGTACTAAAAGATATCGTGATATTGTGGAAGTATGCAGGCAAAGCCACATGTTGTTTGCACAGATGAAAATTTGGGTTTACATCCACAGGGTTCTGAGTGGTTTTAGCTAGCACTCTCAAGCATCAGGCTCCTCCTTTTTTTGAAATGTCCTAAAGCTGTGAAATATTTCAGTGTTGTGGTAATGAATGAGTGGTAAAAGTGATGTAGCCAAGAACTGAAATGCCTCCAGTTCATCATTGCTCCAGGTCTGATGAGCCCACATGTCCCTAAATGACAAAAGATTTCACTTCACCTGATGCACCTGGGAGTAGAATTTCCCTTGAAGGGTTTCTGTGAAATCCATATTTATTTTAATGTTACAAATGAAGTGTCTTGTCTAAGTTTATGGCTATTTAATAAAGACAGCCTGCACAATGTTGGATGCAGCACGAGTGCTCAGAGCATTTGGGAAGTTAGGGCCTCTCGGTGTCTGGATGCTGAGAATTTCGGAACCTCATCCTGGGCTTCTGTGTAGTTCTAATGAAATTCAGTTGCAGGATGGGTGTAGGGCTGCCCACAACAAGACTCTGCCTCAGTGTACTCTGAGCTGGTCCCAGCTATCAGGGTGTGTGACTTAGCCAAGGCTACTTTACTGGAATGGGCTGTACTGGGTCCCTGTACAACTTCCAACTTCCAACAGCAGTTCTCTTCCTGGTGGAGCTTCCCTGCAGCACCTGAGTGCTCTCAGCGAAGCCTCCCCTCATTAAGCTGTATCTCAGCCCTAATGAACAGCTATGAGTTGACAGCTCTGATTTGAGAAATCTCTGCTGTCTGAGGCTCTGGAGAAAGTCAGCCCTGTGTGCCAGGCGGTGTTTATGGCATGGCAGATTATAAAGTTCCCTGACCTCCCTCCATCCCTCTTAGCACAAAGGGTTGCCCATGGACATTCCGTGCCTCGTGCACAGCTGATACAGCTAATTAGAGCTAATGACAACAGTGCCACTGCTGCCAGCAGAGCCCTGCCCTGGCAGAGGGTGGCAGGGCAGTGCCACCTCTGAGCTCACTATCTCCCCAGCTCCTGCCCTGCAGATGCACATGAGCTCACCCCTGGGGCGTGAACACACACAGAATGAGGACATGAAGGGGAGGAGGCGGACAAGAGGGCAGAAAAGGAAATCACATGAGGATTTTAACCTACACTGGTCCAAAAATAATGATGCTGTGTGCATGCAGGGGGCCTAAACCAGAGGGCTTACCCTCTCCCTTCCCTGTCAGTGTGGGGTTGCCTAGTGGCATTCCTGGGAATCCAGAGAGAGAGGACAGGCCATGGAGGCCTGATTAATTTTCTGCCTATCTTTATCGGCTAATTGGCACAGGAATGAATTACAAAAACTAATGAGTCACCCTGTAATTGCTGGTGCACAAGCACTTAAAATGGCTCTAGGCACTTCACTGGTGACTTGAAATGGTTTCAACTTCTTCTGATTTGTTAGTGTAACTGGATAGAAATATTTTGAAGCACATATGCAGTAATAGGCTAAAGCATTCTATGGGGAGCCAGAAAAATCCCAGAAAGAAAAGAATTTGATGTGTGTGTTTTTCAGAGATCTACACCACGTGGACTATCACTGCACACAACAAAAAGGTCTGATAGCAAATGCTATCCTGATGGTCCACACACTGCCTTTAAATTCAGCATCTAGCTGGACACAGCTACATCTTTATATTATCCCTGATTTCAAGGTTCTTTGAGGTCTCTCAGTCCCAAGTTGTAAAATGTTACAGGAAAATCAGGAGGTGATGATAGAGAAGAGCTGGGAAGCACCGGGAAGAAAGTTGATTTTTTTTTCCCAGCCAGCACCAGTACAACACCAGTACAGCTCAATCTTGCCCACAACTGTTAGTCACTCCTGGATTGACAAATTAATTCCAAAGT